AATGTTGGTTCTCTGCGTTGTGGACGTGACCATGGGCATACTGACAGTTTCGGCTAACTTCTACATCCCTTTTTACGGTATGTATGTGTTGAAAGTACGGAGTTAGAAACATTTCGTAATTACAGTACAAAATTCAGTAAGCGTGATACACGCCTTCCAAAATGGAAACGCTCATAAGGGGAATGGGAGACTCAAAGGGATTTAGTGGGAACTTTGGAATTCTAATGACGGCTACAGCGATAGTGAATAACTTTACGAATTTTTTTCTTGGGCCTGTCGATATCTTTAAGATTGTTTCTGTGTATTATTTATACGTTGTTTAGCTCAGAAAGCGCCGTAAATGAACAACGACTCTAAGAAACTGCACGATGTGCGCGACTTTGCGACCCTTTTCGAGTTGTTTCAAATCGATATCTAGCCACATCTTTGTTTACGTAGATGATGCAGGTCGAGATCGAATAATTGCGAGACATCGTGAGCAAATAATTGCGAAGCAGCTACCGTCAGAAATTCTAGAAATTCCCGTAATTCCCATCGTTGGCATGTAATGCCCAAGCCTTAAGAATATCGATCACTGACTACTCTACGTGGTTAAGTGCTAACTATTCCTTGTTTGTACAAGCACATCTTTTGTCATTAGTACGCCAAGGTGTTGTAATTTTCACCTGCCTGTGGATGAGGCTGTGCAGGTTGGGAAGTGGTACCAATTCCCGCAACTGACAGAGTGGGAAGCGTAAGTACTCTCATCGTGCGATCCAAATAAATAACTCCCGGTTAAGAAGAATGACAGCACATGCAATAAAACCAACGTTATCACTGTACTGAAATATTAGAGCGCTGTTTTACGTTGAACGATGGCGACATAGCTTTTGCATAGCCAGAGCAACCATGAAGCACGTATTGTACGAATGCAATCCTAACGTAACACTTAAAGCAACGCAAGTCCCATGTTCATGCTTCCGGCGAATGCGCAGGATGTTTCAGATAATATTATGGTCTAGCTATGACACAGCTCACCTGTATCCTGCTAGTGGTTTCGTGATAAACGATTAGAGCTGCTTGCGCTTTGGGTCCTCGAAATTTTTCGTCCTCGAAAGTTAAGTAGAACTTTCAAAAATCCAGACATTGAATCCGCGGTAAGTGTACTAAACGTTTTGTGTTATTCAATTTCCGGAGCAGAATGCCGGTATCGTGTTATGTAGTAGTACCAGTAGTATTTTGCAGGACAATGGAAAACATACTGGGCAGGTTCACACCGGACGGAACAGGCCGAATGCTGGTTCTCTGCATTGTCGACGTGGTCCTGGGCATGCTGATAATTCCAGTTAACTTCTACATTCTCTTTTATGGTACGTACGCCTCGAAGGAACGCTTAAGGAAAATTGCCCGGTACATAGCGCCGAAAATGGGATACATCCGCTAAATCTTTCACTTCCCGCAATCCGAATCAGATTTTGTAATACTTTATGTCATTCTAAAGCTTAATGACTTGTTTATATTGTTCTGAAAATCGTTTGCGCGCGCAGCATTCGGTTGATGAGAAATGGCGTACTAAAATGGGCGTAAAGTTTAAATGCATTGTTGTGTACCAAAAGTCTGGTTATTATCCGATCTTCTTGAAACTTGGTGATAAAAGACATATGGCCATAAAGTCGAAAGTGAACCATGGCATTTTTTCCCGATTTAAAATGAATTTCAAAATGTTTAAAATTCATTTAAAATTACGAAAAAATGCTATGAACCTGAAACTGGTTCACTTTTGAAAGTGAGTGCGCGAAAGTAAAATTTTGGATGCCATTTTTGCATGTAATCCCATTTTTGACACCATGTACCGGGCCATTTTCCTTAACACATCACTTCTCAAATGATTAATAAATACTGTACCCGTATTAAGAAATTAATGGGATTGCAATGGCCGCTACCATAATAATAATGAACAAAATACGACAATTAATTTCTTGATCATTAATTGTGATTTTGCGTGTTTTTTCTTTTTGTAATCAGTTTTGTAATCAAGCGCAGAATGATATTAGAGCGCCGTGGCTGAAGAACAGTGAGTAAAATTGGATGACTTTGCAAACAGCGATAGTTTTCCCAGTGTTGTTAAATCGATAAGCACTGTTTAATCGATAAAGGCTAACATCGCGAGCACTGCGAGGCAGCTACTGTTTTTGGTTCTGTATTACCGCTTTCCGTATAATTCACGCATCGCTGCTTTCCTTAAAGTAATAAGAGGTATAACTGATGTATAGTACGTATATAGATATAAAATACACGCTAGAATAAATCACAGAGACTTGTGTCGTGACTTTTTACCACGAACTTTAGTGTGCTGGTACCGCTGTTACTAATAAAATACCACTTCTTTACTCTCAAAGTTTCCATATCTGTGTTGATCTGAAATCCACTGTTAATTGTAATAATAAATTTGCTTTTGTATTGAAAAAAAAAAGTTACTAACGGTACGGCATGGGTCTTTGTCCATTTCAAATCGGGGAGGTTACTGAATGTATGTTCGTAATGGCAGGATGCGAGAAACGCCGTTCGCAGTACAGTTTGCAAGTTGTATTTTGTTAACCGTGCACGTACTGACCATCGAGGCTCCGAGTCAAATATTATGCTGAGAAATCTGGGATTATCCATATTCGTTAATATTATTGCTTATCTGTTGAGTATCTTTACTACTGGTTTCTTAGGTGAAATGAGCAGTGGCAGTTGGCGCCCGGTGGGGCAAATGATCGTCTTCGTCCTGACGTTGCCGCTGTACTGGACACAAGTGGCGAGCGCCTGCCGTAGGACCAAAATGTATATGCGTCTACGCCGGGGTTCACTGAATGTGGTTGAGTTCTATTTGCAAGCATTTGACGACAAATACAGCAGCTGGTTCGTTTTGGGTCAGGTCGTTTACATGGTTCCACTGGCTGGGATCGGGCTAATTCGGGTTGCTGTTCGCATTGCGCAAGCCCTGACAGTGATGGATTCGAGCTGCGGCTGCTGCATGGGGATCTCCAAAGCCGAGTTGCTTATAAAGGCCTGGCTGGCGGCGTTTCTGGTGTTGGGCGTTAGCAGCAGCCTCGTGGTGGTCGGCGTCTCACATATTAACGGACGCATGTTGGTTGTGGCGAACTATGAGATAAAAGATTTGCTACACAAGATACGACGGGAAGAAGAAGTCAAAAAAACAAGCCGTCTTGAGGGGCGCCTTCGGTTGGACTGTATGGAAGATGCCGATTCAGGAAAGGAGAAGACTGCTGAGATCCAACCGGTGGACGCATTCGCAGTGAATTTAATTGATCTTGTTTAGATTAATCCGGATTAGAGATTAACATTTGTCCGAATATTCCTACCGTACCACAGCGTTTAGACTGTTTGCATCTCAACTCTAATTTTATTTTGCTTGCGTTAATGAATATCAGACACAATTCACGCTGAGAAGCAAAGGTCATTCGTAGGTAGCGGAAATGCGGTTGCCTGATGATAGCTTTAGCCTTTAGCTGGAATTTTCTCAAGGATTAGCCGCCCGGATAAAAATCTCTGCCTTCATTTTGACACTACAGTGCACGTAATTAATAAAAGTTAGTGCTTCATTTCATCTTGTTTTCTGTGAATGATGCTCGCCAATGTCGGCGGAACCGAATATCTCATTATTTTCTGTACGAGACGCGATACTAATCAATAGATCACCCAGTGTAACTGAATGGCGCCGACTAACAATTAAAGAAGACAGATACAAATCTCAAGAACGATTACCAATAAATTATTTCTGGTCACCTTCTGTAAAAACATGGAGCCCAGGGCGTTAACACCCAAAACCCTTAATAATTATTGTGCCGAGCCATGTTCATCGTGGGTTTTTTTTTATTTTCGTCATCGTCGTCGCTTTCGTGCCAACGCGGTGACTGAGAAATACCTTGCTCTATCTGTATACAGGTGCCTTTATTCGCACATTAGTTTAATGTGCTTTATCATTAAGTGCAGTTTTTGTATACTGCGAATATATTTTTGACATTTTAATGCTATCGTCTTTGTGACTTCTCACTCTTATGAGCGATATATCACTGCATTAATTCGTAGTGTAGTGGCCAGAGTATGGTAAAACCTTCTGCATCTGTGCAGAATATTATAATTAAAGCCGTAAAAAACCAAATGCTGCTCTAACTGTTTTTACAACGGACCACTATTATTTTGTGCAGATTTCATGTGGGACCTCCGGAACATGATACGAGGCAGGAGCGGTTGTTTTAAAGAAGACTGGCAGGGCAGAGCAGGAGAGATCAGCTCCCATCGTTTTTTGTTTCCGCTTAGAAAGCACAGGAATCAAGGTCGGTAATGCGATGAGCTTTCGAATGTTAATTAGAACACAGTAATCTCCGCGTTGTTAGCGTTCCACAAGAGAAAAACGTTTTAGAAATTCATTGCGTGATAATTATTGTTCTCCATCACGTAATCCTTTAGACAAAAGTACATCATCTTGCCTGCTTCAATAAAAATGCGTCTCTGTACATGTACATACTTCATGCCTGCGTAATACAGCCAGCCGTAGAAATCAAAGCACTGTATGCATACAGTATACTTTCTAACATAATTATGTAATTAAGCAGTAATTATTACAGTAATCGGCAACGTACGAGCGAAATTCCACTAACCAGCTGTCACGGTCAGCTTCAATCTTAACAAGCTTATTTACCAACCACCAAACACGGGCACTTCCCACCGTGTTGCTCCCGTAAATTGTATTAATTGCGGGCAACACCCCTTCTTCGCGGTATACACTTATAGGGCATCGATTATTTTCAGCGCCTATACCGCGCTTTCGGGGATTCAATGGTGTACGAGGTGGGTGTAAGAGGAGACGATAGCGATCTTGATTACTGGAAGAACATGAGATCGTGCGCCAGCCGGTTTCCGGTAAGCAGGCACCGGTGTCACATCCGGTTTGTTAAAACAGAGCCACAGTTCCAGTTTCTTCTGCCGGCGTTTGTGTGCGTGTGAAATGCATGTTTTATGAAACACTGTTATATTATGATCAGATGACAGTGTTTAATGAACGATGTGTGCAGCACCAGGAGGCGCTCGTCAAGGTATCATTATGATGCAAATATGTACGCGGTACACTGTGATTTGCCATTTTCTGTACAGTATCACTTCCGTAGGCTGGACTTCATCGGAATGCAGCCGGCCGAATATTCCTTAGAGTCTTCCTTTAGTCTGCTAAGATTCCAGTGAATATTATTAATCTATTCCGCAACTAAGCGTGCACCACGCTCAGTTATCTTTTAAACATTCGATCGCTTGTGCATAAATACGGATTCTTCTTACCATCATGGAGCCGATGCTGCGCAATTATACCCCGAAAGGGACGGGCAGAATGCTCGTTCTCTGCATCACGGAGGCTGTCCTCGGAATGATGACATGCCCCGCCAATTTCTACGGACTGTTTTACGGTAAGAAAGGTCGACATGCCATTGTCGTATTTTTTGTTGATACAGTAATCTCTAATTATTTCTGTTAACTGTAGTAATGTTTATGACTCAATGTGATCGCCCGTCGTTTTTATGTAACAGTAATCCGCGTAAATGGCAAAATGTGATTACGTATCTAAATCAGCCGCTCGTGCTCATATGTTACGTTTGGAATCTGCTTAATTGAGTTTCACGAGACAAGATTTTTAATATCAGAAAATGAATCGTGGAATATTAATTTCAAAGTTTACGAATTAGAGTATACAGTAAAGTTTATGCAATACTTCTATGGATATGAAAGCAGCCGCAGCCCACTGTGCAATAGTCAGCAGAGATACCGATCGATGAGCCGCTCTTTTTTTGGCCGGTCTTTCTGCCTGTGGCCACGGCTGCACCTTTTGGTTCTATTAATTAATAATTCGGATCACATTACACTTTTACTTGTTTTGGCACTCGCATAATTCAAGTAATCACAAGATTATAAATAAACGGAGAGACATGGAAGAGAGATTTATCAGAGACATTCGTAATGACGGATAAATATAATTCCGCCGACGTACTGATGAATAATTAATTAATTTCAAGCACGCTCTGTAGGTGCACTGCACAGCGGCAACTGGTATCCCGTAGCGCAGATCATCGTCTTCGTCCTGACCCTCCCGCTGTACGGGGCGCAGCTGATGATGGCCTACCGTGGCATCCGCACCTGCCTGCGTCTCCGCGCCGGTCTTCTGGATTCCATCGCCTTATCCCGGAAAAACCTGGACGACGCCAATATCGGTCTGGGCATCATCCACGGGATATACGGTTTCGCGTTGGCTATAGCCTGGCTCATTGTTGTGGCTCTGCCCGCCGGCCGACTGATCCCGGCGATGAGCGCCTGGAGCGCCACGGTGCATATCTTCAAGCAGGATTTGACGGCACAGCTGGTCATGATCGCGTTTATCATCCTGACTATCGCGAGTTTGTGTGTGGCTATCCGTGCCGGGAAGGAAAGTATAGTCATGGGAGAGGAAATGCACCGGGAGGAGGTGAAGGAGTTGGAGCGCCGGCAGGCGCTATTGTCCACTGTTGACTCGCCCAAGAAGATCGTTAAACTGCCGCCTCCGTATAGATTCACGACAGCGGAGGGAAGGCGGTGCAGTTGAACACGATGAAGTTGGTCACCTACACGGTCGCTTGATGCTGTTTATGTTGCGACTCACGGTGCCCTTTCTGCTCTCGCATCGCATCGAGCATTTTTTGTAAAAAATTGTGAATACCAATGTAAGGTGCGATATTGACCTTAATACAGTTTATACCTTAATGCAGTTAAGGTCAGATCTCGGTGTTGCACCCAAGGTTTGATAATGTTAGCGTTACTGAGGGATCCTCTTTTAAGATCGCCGGTTTATTTCGATACTGTTTCTAATTTACGGAAAACAAACCTGTTTGGATTGATGCAACATACAGAGTGCAACATAAATATAATTAGTGCAACATACAGAGTACGACAACGTTTAAATTTAAAATATGACACTTTAGAAATTCCGAGTCAGAAAACGCCTGTATTCTTCCTTTACCTTTTTTCATCTTATCACGCTTTTTAATGGAAGTACAGTGCATTTTGCTTGCTGACCATAATGGTGCTGTAAACCTAGCAAAAAGCGATTTTGCCACACCGTATAATTTCCGGTTAAAGAGCGCATACCGACTGCTACCCCTACAAATTGCAGTACTATTGTAAAGTGTGTTTAAGGAAGATTTTGCAGTTCGATAAACTCGACTGGCAGCTAGTAATCAGATCATTTCTCTGTGACTGGCTCCAAAGACCAACCAGGCGTTATCATTACTAGTCAACACTAGAGTCAGCAATCGGCGAAAGAATCCGCCTTTGACATATTATTATCAAGGAATTTTATCTTTCGTCTTGCCACAAGTATGGCAACCATGTTATGCTTACAAGGTGATATACACAAAAACACAATGGTTGCAAAAAAAACACAAAGTGTTCACTTACCGCGGCACAAGAAATAAAAACCGTGTCTGACTAAAATTACAACACTGTAGGGAGAAGACCCAGAGATCTCTGTAAGAAATAACGCGCATCTTAGTAATGTGAACTAATGCATCGGTAGCGTCTCGTACTTCGTTCCCACGACATGCATGCGGTTAAATGAGAGCTAACAAATTAAGACTGCTTGTTTACTGATAAAAACTACTGCATCAAAAACGCTCTAAGCTGCTTTATACAGCAAGCTAAAAAGTTTGCACTGTGCTCTGATAATTGGTACTACTACTAATTCATTCTCGTAAAACGTCGCACACAATACTTAGCAGACTAAAGGACTAAAGGATGGTATGCCAACACATGGGCTGGTTGATTGTCGCAGCGGCAACTCTAAGTGCGTTTCTCGGTACGCTAGTCACCGCGGAAACTTGCGAAGAACTCAGGGCACAATGTGACGAGCTTCGTCGCGATGACGATGGCTACCACAGTCGCATGCTGCCCCCTACTGCCAACCACAGCCTGTGGCCAGTGACCGCTGCGGATCTGGAGCAATATCGACCGTTTGGCGATGCCTATTGCCGGTATATGCCAAAATCCCAGAACAACCAACCGAGTAATGAAATACTGTACGGATTGCCTTTGTTGTAGACGGGGCGTTGACTTGGGAAACTGCATGAAAAAGCTGTATTCCCATTGTCCCGAGGTATATAACGACGATAAAACTATCTATGATGGTTGGTATACACCGGAATGGCACATTGCCATGGGCTTGCTGTGCAATACCACCATCGGACCGGTGAAATTAATCCGCGCTGCAATGCACTGTGCTCAACAAGATCGGCAAAAGTTCATCGCCTGTTGCTATCTAGATTCGTCTTCCTCGCATGAACAGAACGGAAATTCGTCCGCTGCCCGTCAGAATATTTGCGAGTACGTCCTAACAATTAGCGCCGGTACCCATGAAACTTACTAAAGATCACATTTCGGTTTTAGTGTTATGCTTATTTAAATTATGATCCTTTCAAATTGTAAATTAAAGATATTACTAAACTAGTACTGATTGGTAATTATCAAGCTAAATTACTTAACTAAATTGTTAAAATTACTAAATTAATTTTTAAACTAACTTACCAAACTTCACGACTAATCATATTATTGGTGATTATTTCAAACTGTAACTAAACACCGAGTCCATTAACCTGTTAACAGTTTGAATTATGATACAAGCACATTCTATCGCTAGGCTAATATTGCGTAGCACAGCTCAGCTGGCGGTCGACAGCCATCAGGTACAATCGCCGCAGACAAGCGGTGTATATAGGGGGCAAACCTAAGCGTGTTCCACGGTTCCCCTGTATTGCTACCGTCACCCGCCTGGAGTGTGATGTTACGGCAATACATATGGTTAAATCTGGCGCGGTACATAAGCGCCATGTTCAGCCACAACGTAAAACTCCAGCCGGGTGACGGCAGCAGTAGCCGGAAACGGTGGAATACGTTTAGTTTTGCCCCCTATATTAAAGCAGTTATTACGTTCACGACTCACGAGTATTGTATATAATGATCGTTCTTTATTCGTATATTCCTATATATTGTTTTCTTTCAGGAGATTGAAAGTAATCGTGGAACGCAGCAGCGGCACGGAGGGTACCGAATTGGGCAGCAAATGTGGTCAAGATACTATGGAGACGATTAACGAGGGAATCCGGCAGTTACATGCCGTTTACTGTTCCAAGCCATAAACGGCTATTCGGAAACCATACATCTGCGCTTATGGCCCAAAGTTCCAGGCCTGTCAGAATGGTTGCGATCACAAAAAGCAACCGTGCGCCCTGGTCCTGTTAAAGCACGAACGCATGCTGCCAGCAACGCCAAAAACTTCAAAGGCTGCTGGGAGCGCGCCTCACCATCAGTTCTGAAGTGCTTGTATTTTATCTGCTTTTTTCATTTCGCTTCGAACCACGGTTCTAACGTTTTTTTCACATTTTAAAATGAATTTCGAAAATTCTAAATCATTTTAAATTCATTCTAAATCATTTTAAATCATTTAAATTCTAAATCATTTTAAAATTTGAAAAAAATTATGGAACTCTGGTCAGTGTAGGAACGACCTTCATAGAATTATAGTAATGTGCATTTACGGGCAAAATTGAAGGAAGATCGGATCATAATGAAACTTGTCACTTCTGATACAATTGAAGTGTATGGTGTAATGCATGAATTCAAGGAATTCTGACGACATCGTCACTAGTCGCATCGCACGACCATTAGTCACCGGAAGCCTACGTGCAGGTATTCCTGCGCGGAATACCGCACATTCCCGCGCGGTCATATGACGTAACGCTGACCGCATATTACATCATCATGCCGTCATGCACTCTGTCATTGGCTTGTCGCCACACCAGCCCTACCCATGGCAGCCGAGCCCATCCGGACCAGCGCCATATATAAAGCACCCCTCCGCACCGTACCAGTCAGTAGTCCTGCAGTAGTCTACCAGCAGACTCTCAGTAGACTCCCAACCTACACCTGGTTCACCTAGCATTAGCATTCTTATTGTGGGCATAGTGTTATATGCCTGAATAAAGGTCACTGTCTTACGGGTGCGTTACCTAATCGTTATAGGGTCACCTAGGTAACACATAAAGGTCATCGTCGACCTGTACAGGTGTAGCACAGGTGCGCTTAAAGGAGAACTCTATATGGTGCGACAGAATGCACAAGACCACAGAAAGCAGCAGTCTAGCATATTCTTCCCATATTCTGAAGTCTGAACAATGCTAAAAAAATGCAAATTTCTGTTTGCATGATATTACGACTGAATGTACTGCATTTGGCGTTGATTGAATAAATACCGGTATACCGTGCATAGCACTTTAAAGTATACAGATATGTGTAACGAGTTAACCTGGATTGCTGTGTACCGTACATGTATGGATAAGTTTCCTTAATCAGCGTCTAAGCAACTGTTACTATTTTACTCGGTCACTAACTGTCTGGCCAAAAGCTTATGTGTTAGACGATTGTTAAAAGTTGCTGGCTGTTCCTGACACTTTTTCGGTTAGGTTTTTACGTGCACAATTACCGGGACTGTAGTTTGTACCATGTACCAGGAAATACGGTATAAAAACCGTATAATTCCATGTGTTTTATAAAGCCGATTGTCATCATCCACAGATGCATTCGCAGGTTGCAGTAGTGGCTGCGAAGTAGCGAAAAAGGGTTTGTAAGCTGTGCCGACTGATGATTATATGCCGGCATCTGCGCCTAGATGGCCGACGGTGGAGCGTGATACGTGAACCGTACAGACCGAGCGATATCGTAATGCTATGGTACTCGCACTTTTACACGAAGTAATACTGGACTGTAAATATACAGTAAAAATTAATTACTCATGGTACAGGTCCTCATCATGAAAGCATTCACCCTCGTGACCACGCCTCACCGCATGCCTGTTTGAACAGTGTGCACTTTATAAATAAGTGACTTGCTGTTTTTAACGTTCTTCAAGGTTCAAGCTGTAGTTCTGTTGTCATAATATGGCTTTATTCTACACGCTTTACAGACAAACCACCAGCTGAACAGCGAAGACTGCGATCCAGAAATACTATAAGGTACTGCCTACGATACAATTACTGTGATACGAAACTGCATCACTAACTAACTCGGTTGGTATAGCCAGTGACGTGATAACTGTGTGTAGTTATTTCGTTCTAGAAAATGCTGCATCTCTCGCTGTTGGTCCTGCTGATAAAATCGGCAACAGGTCAGTGGATCACGAAACCTGGCGATCCCGATACTGCACCGTATTTCCCGCATCCTCTCTGCCATTACTCCGACGCCTATCAGCTGACATGCAGCCATGCCGATCTGCATATACCCCAAAATTTCCGCACGAGTGCTTTGTACTCCAACACCAGCCGAATTTATAACGATGTGATGGACCTCGTCCTTGACTGCCCGACCAGTATTAATCGCACCTACTGTAACACCGTTGGTCCAAATGCTACAGCCCTTTCGTCCAATTACTGGATCTGGTACGTTACGCTGATTGGCTTCCAGGCTGAAGGGGGCGGTCGAGCGCCCATCGACGTTCTGCTGGCGGAACTGCGCGGTCTTTCTCGTCTGCGAGTGCATTATTCGAAAATCGGCACACTGGACCGACATTTCTTCCGGCATTTTAAAGACCTCACAAGGCTGGACATTCGCAATAATGACATAAGAGTTATTGAACTTGATGCTTTCGACCCCTTTTTGCGACTGTTTGAGCTGAAAATGGGCGGAAACGCTTTGCAAACCCTGGACTGGAGTGTTCTGCGACCCGTGTCCACAAAACTAGTAAGCGCATAATTTACCCGATTGCAGTAAAATAACCATTGCAGTACTTGTTTAAATTCATTTTGGACAGAACACATTGGAAGTCGACGCACAGACGCCACCCCTACACACTCTGCGACGCAGTGGGTCGTTGTTTTCTATTAATATCACCACGCTGTCCTTGAACCAGAGCCATTTGTCATCCCTTCCCAAGGACGTCGTCGACACTTTCGATGTGAGGCAGTATGGGAATGTGCTCGTAGATATTGGCAACAGTCCAGTGTGTCCGGACAATGCAGACTGCTCATGTTGCGCCATGAAGGATCTGGCCGACTGGTTCGCAAATCGCACCGCATGGGCCGCCGGCGGAATCGGTCAGTTAAAGACGGAGACCAGGAAGCTAACTGTCAAGGTCACGTGCGGATCGAGAAAGAATGCCGAAACCGGAAATGCAGTTAAAGAGTTCTCGCTGACAAATCCCTTGCTGCCCAGCATGTATGCGAACTGCCAGTGACATTGTTTTGTATTTTTTCAGTACTTCTATACATAGTGCACTTAGCCGGCAAAAGTTACACCATCGAAGACCAGGTGGCGCATGCCGGCGCTGTGTTGTCTGAACGTTTCTCGTGTTTGCTTTGACATGTTCTCAAGCGTAGATTTGGCAGATTTCATTTAATAACCGTTGACACCAAACATTTGCAGCATTCTGCGTAGAAAGGTAGTTAATCCGTATGACAGTGCTCGAGCTGCTGTCATTTTTTTGTTGTTCTGGGGTTTTCTGCAACCAACTGAAATGACCCTGGACCGCTCTAGGGGCTGGAAAATACGGACAAGGCGATTCAAAGTGCGATGTCCAAGAAGATTTTGCAAGTGGTAAACTGGAATGGGGTAGCAATTAGGCGATATTATGTCTGCGGTTGCCTGCAAAACACAGCAAACCTACTCAGTACTCGTATTATCAGATTTAGCATCCCGCAAAACAGCTGCTATCAGAGAAGCTGATCTTGCAGAGAAACTGCTATTGTGTATGAACATAACGCTACAGACACAGTAGCACTGGCATAACGTTTACTCTGGCAAAAGAAAAATGCCTTGCAGTATTCGGTATCAGTGAACCGTACGCAGTCGTTAAGGTTTGATAACATACATATTTTCCAGTCTAAAAATTATACTTAAGCTTTATGTAGTACTTCGGTAGTATACTCGTCTGATGTGTAATACGGGCTTGTATGTATAGCGCGTGCCTTAATGGAGAATAAAAAAATTGCTTTTGCTCAGCCGCAGATAACAAATGGCGGGCAAAAACTGGTGTAACAAAAGCGCTCAAGTCTGTTCGGCTTATACAGATACGGGCCTACACAGCAAACACTGCGTCTTGATACTACATATAATAGTAACATTCTCGCAAAAAGGGCGCATACACCGTTGACCATCAGGACTGAAGGAAACCACGTTACTGTAGCGTAACACGGACCGCGCAGTTGTGGAAACGCTAACGATATACGCTTTACTCGCTACGCCAATCGTCGGGGAAACTTGCGAGAAACTCGGGGCAAAATGTGACGCGCTGCACCACGATGAAGATATTTACCAAAATCGTCTATTGCCTAACCGCCGACAGCTCTCTGTAGCCGATATCCGAGGCGGATCCCAGAAATGCCGACCATTTGGGGGCGCTTACTGCCGGTAATCCATATAGCCAACAAAACACAAAAAACTTTGTTTTTCAGGTTTTTTGCCTTCACTGTAGTCGGGGCGTGGACCTGGGAAATTGCATGCAAAAACTATATTCCCGTTGTCCCGACGTTTACGACCGCACAAAGACTGTCTACAATGCATGGTACGGACCTGAATGGCAAATCGTTACCGGTGACAAATTGTGCAATACAACCGTTGGTTCGGTGAAGTTCTTCCGTGCTGTCACACACTGCGCCCGGCCAGATCATCGCAAGTTCTTCTCGTGCTGTTTTCTGAAAGCGCATATGTCCCGCATGAACAGAACGGGAACCCGAATATTCTGCACTCGGGCAATGATTTCCCTTGATGGACCGGCCCAGAACGGCAATTTCAGTGAGAACTATTATTACCGTAAATGGCCGGCCCGGTATATGGTACCCAATCCAAGTATTGTAGATCCTCTGCAACCTCAGCGTGAAGTGATCAGAAACATTTGTGACATTTTGCAACTGAAAGCTTTGGCCTTTGGGTACAATGAGAACCGTTTATGCGTGCAGCATCCGCTTCCAGTGAGATTTCCGAATTAACTCACTAACGTGCAACAGATGGCCATATACCTATTATCCGATTTTCTTGAAACTATGTTGCGGAACTTTCGCATTTACGCAGACGAATGTAAACCAAAAACCACGTTCATAAATTCATAATTTTAAAATTTAAAACGAACACCAAAGTGTCTGCAAACATCTGTAATTTCAAGATCTTAAGGATTGGCAGACAATACCAGTATACACAATTTCTACGTTTGATGGACTACTTTCTCTGTGTCCTGAATGCACTGGCTGCCACGCAGATCATTTTCCAAATGATAAACTACAGTACATGTTGCAGTATTCGCCAGATACCGACGGTTCTTCCTACAAGCCTCTCTGGTAGAGCTTCCCGTGCTTTTCTAATCGTAAGCTGCTTTACGTATATATCGCATTTTACGCGCGTTTTCATTATTAAAGCAGGCTTGTGGTGGTGCATTCTTTCGTCGAAAAGGTTGCGGCATGGAATTTTTGCTGGTAGCATTAATTGTACTGTATATTAACGCGCTATGCATAGATTGCGCGTATTACGTACGTACGTGTTATGACGTACGTGTTGTGTTTTCTGTTACGTACGATTTGCTGTTCTTATCTAACGGATTTGATCGCTAATTCCATCCATGATTTTGGTTTAATCAGAAGTCAGATGAATCAGTCTGAAGAATTAGATGAATCAGTCTGAAGTTTCTAACTTCAACTAAATCTGTGAGCTTGTTTCTAGCTGAAAGGTCGTGTGACTCTAGGTTAGAAGGAAGTTCATATCTCGTTCTGTTCCGTTCTGTTTGTTTGTTCGTTCAGTTTGGTGATTAAACATTTGGGAAGTTCCTGAGTGTTTGGGTTTCAGTAACTTTCGTTAGGCACAACAATCCGCTCGTACCTAGCGGAAGTAGGCAGAAGTACCACTTACGGAGTCCAGAGCATATTCCCACTCTACCGATTAAGTAGGTTTGGTCATCTACTGCGGTTGTCGCGGTGCGACTTCCGCATAGCATGTCAATATGTTAAGCATAGTTGACGCTTTACACACGCTTGTTATCCCTTATGGCTGACATAAAACTCAATGCTTCCAGTATTAGAGGTATCGACACAAAGCGCAGTTAGGGCATATCTAGCGGAAAACTGGTAAATGGACTGGCGTAATGGAGTCAGTGAATACGTCGGACTGTGGCTCAGTTCTCGAAGATTTGTGCATTCAATCTCCAATTTTTGTCTTTTGCATCTGTGCCGAAGCCGCGATCAGTTTACGCAGTGCGCTGTATGCAGTTGCTGGAAGACTTCCTTAATGGTTTCCACCGAGTCTTGCCCACATTTCTCAATCACTTGGCTCCCGCGGGGCCCGTTAATGCCTTCCTCGATAGCCTTGAACCGCCTAAAGGAAACATTGAGAATCTATGTGTTAATCATGCCATTACGATGTGGTTACTAATTCATCAGAATATGAAAAACACTGATTACAAAATAAAAAAGGTGTAACCAGAAGGTGATGACCGAGGTGACGATATCCGCCGAAAAGGGCCAACCTACCCGCAGATATTCTGGCGGGCGACGGTTGCATTCGGATTTTTATCGTGAAAATCAGACGGCGGGATAAAGCAACAGTCCATAAATGGCCCGCGACTGCGTTTAAAACAGTGGTCCACTGCACGAAAGAATTTCACCGCCGAGATTGTGGTATCGCACACCCTAGCCATGGCTAAGCGCAGCTCGGAAAAATACCATCCGTCGTAAAGTTTCTTCCGGATATTATAAGCGTCGGGGCACTGATCGTACAGATTGCTGACACAGTGCCCGCTATCGTTGGACCACCTGCAATTATTCCGTATCCACACTGAAGAGAGCTGTATTTTATTAACCTGTGACTCAGCGTTACTGTTTTTTCGTAAGGGTTTTGAACGGGGTCTTTATAAGATACAATATTCAGTGATTTTTGCCTGTACAAACTCACCGGCAATATGCGTCGCCCAACGGGCGGTCGTCCCGAACAACCTGCGTGGTCATATTGGGCCAGGATGAGTTGGGCTCCCGACCCATCAAGCGATTTGCGACGGAACGTGATTGGCGATATAAAGTCTCGCATTGCTGATCCAGTTCGGCGCAGGTCTCGTCGGCATCAGCGTAGCTCCACAGCGTTGACGCAATTGCCAGAAAAGTCATTAAAAGCCGGCAATCCATGCTGTCAAAACAGTACAGCCTTAGTCTACGTGTAGCTCGTTGCAAAATGCTGACAAGCTAATATGCAGTTGCTTTCAGCATGTGATTTTTACTTATGTAGTGTGCTCCAGGCTGACTGCAGCATAAACCAAGATGCTACAGATACAACTTTCTGTGTAAGATTATTTAAACGATAAGCTGCCGGTGTTGTTCAGTGATAAAATTTTCACTGCAAATATTAACGACCCCGAAACCCGACTCGAACCTGAGAAATCGAACCCTGAGAAATCGTGTCGAAACCTGAGAAATCGTTAAAGCACATAGTTATGTTATGTACGAGTGAAACGAGAATGTTAGTAACGCTGCGTAGGCAAAGAATCGCCTGTATCGTCTGCACTCGTATGTATCGTCTGTATCGTTTACAGTGCGACTGATTTTCGCTGTTACGTAGATTTTGGTAGAGCTGAAAACGATGAAAGGTCATGGCACGGCTAGACCGACCGGTCGAGTATGCTCATACGTGGAAAACGTATACATTGGCCATAACGAACGAGACGATAATGCAAGTCGGGAATTGTTATTGAGGAAATAAATCAGACTGGCAATCGTGTGTCAGAAAGCGAGAAGCAGCGGTATAAGCAGGCAACAAGTGAAGAGGTACATCAGACCTTCAATCAGACTGAGGGAGGTCATGCTGTAACGTAATAGCGGACGGCTGCGAGGACTGCAACGAGTGTCAACTGGTGATGTGCCGAGCTGAGTGCAACGGATCATAATTTCTTACCTGTTGTTAGAAACACCGGTAGTTTAAGGTTAATAACCAGCTGCAACTTATTTCTGTGATTATCACCCAAAGGTTTTTAGACATCACATTATAAATCACAAAGAGCAGAATTGATACCTTCAGAATGTGGAATGGTTGCGGTCATTGAAAACGCATTCCCAGTTGCTGTATTTCATTGCCAAGACCTGTAGTAGACACTCGTAGGATCAGTGTCGTTCTTCGATAGCACTGTTTAACCATGTGCCTACTTCTCGCAACAATTTGATATATGCTCGGCCAACAACACCAAAAGTTTTAAAAAGCTGCTGTTGTAAGCTATTACCCCGGCTGCGTGTATAGAGCGCAACCGCCACTCCGATCTCCCACTCCGCCTCCTTTAGCGAGAACTTTTCTTTTCTGTGTTTCCTGTGGAAAGAAGTGTTTCCCCCTCTCCCCCGCCTCATACTGGTCTCTCAGAATCACCACGAGTAAAATGGGAAGATCTAAACATGGTTGTTTGGCTTGTTTCTGTTCATGTGTACCTATATAAGGGGAAAAATGTGTCTAGCCGAACCAATCCCTTGCAATTCTGATGTAAGCCAGCTGGTGGTTTACGTTGTGGCTGCACAGCGTTTTATGTTAAGCGCTGCTATTAAGGCTGTGCGGCATTCACGGTACATGTGGTATTAACTGCACCAGGCAGGTCCGGGCTATAATACAGTTTTAGCCTGTTTACCTGCAGTTGTACGCTGCTTACCTGTTATCAGTACCTGCAATCTTAATAGCAGCGCTTTACATGAAACACTGTCGAAACGTAAACCATCAGCTGGCTTACATCAGAAGTACAAGGGATTGGTTCGACTAGACACATTTTTCCCCTATATATATTTTTTTGCTTGACTCAGGTTGACTGATTAACGTCTGTTTCTTAATAGCATTTTTGCCCACAATTTGCTCCTGCTTTCCATCGTGCAACTCGTTATGTAATCTTTGTGCGTTGTCCACTGCTGTAAACGGCGTTCCTAAATCGCACGAAGACATATCAACATTTTTAGTATTCATAGAAACATGTGTCAAGTTGCGAAATACCGTATTTTTCGAATTTAAAGCCTTCTCCAAAATTGAAGCCTTCTCTATCGTATAAGCCTTCCCCCCCACCTTAATTCGAAAATTTAGTAGCCTCCTCAGTATCAGAAGCCTCTCTCTATACACGGTGTATAGCAATTACGCTAGTTTAAAGGCTTTGAAAATTTAAAAGCCTCCTCCACAATATAAGCCTCCTCTGCTGTATAAGCCTCTCCCCAGGCACCTTTGAAAATTTAGAAGCCCAGGGCTTCTAATTCAAAAAATACGGTATTCGCTGGTTCTTCTTCTTCCGCATTCCTGGCTGCTGATCCGGCTTTGACTCTGCTGCTGGTGACATTAGACTACTGTCTCCACGCATGTCACATCCCAGGCTACAAACATGGCAACTCGAGCTCCGGTGGAAAAAATGAATTCATCTTCCAATGGGGTGGCTCAAATGCAGGATGGCTGGGTGCATCAGGTTCCTGACAACCAGGTTCGTCTTTGTTGTCTGATGTCCGGCAACCGTGAAATGAGCCGTGACCGCGTTTCACCACTCTGACAACGTGCGGTAAGCAGTACGTTTTATTCCTCAGCCCCTATACTTCGCCCTACAAATACCGGTATATTCGTACTGTATAATACTCTGTACAATACACACAGCATTTTAAAGGCTGTCCATTCAAAAGTTCTTTAACGCCTCTGAAAGGTTACCAGTACCAAAAGTACATGGCTTTAGTAACCTGAGATTTTAAGCTGGATCATTTAAGTTTTTGGGAGGGAATAGGTGGCTGTGAACTGATTGCAAAACCAGGCAACACAAAAGTCGCCTCACGTTCATGTGGACAAATTTCTTTTTGTGAGACCGTCCGTTTGAGCGACTGCAAGAAGGTTTTAAGTTTTAATTCTTGTACGTCTGCACACACAATCCGGGCTCAGACTCAATCCACGGCAGCAGGTTTCGAACAGACTAGCCATTAAGTACTCTTTTTATTTACAGAGTACATGAAAATCCTCTGCAACGCCGATCGAGGATTTTCATATATGTACTCCGCAGATGAAAATTCATGGAAATAAAAAAATACCATGCTAACACGCATAGAAGTGACAATATGCAGAGCTTGTATGGTATGCTGGTTCAGTGGTTAGCATGGTATACATATCCAGTATTTCCACATGTCTCAGGTACTTTATCAAACATTTATTCCTTAATAGTTCATTTGTATTGCTGAAGTAAAACAATTTTAATTCTAGTGAATAAAAATTTTGTTCACCCCCGCTGCTGATTAAATCAATACGAAAAGTATTCAGTTGCGTATAGGATACTTAGAGACAAGAATGCTCCTGATTCCTGAATAACCGCTCTTCGGCTCTTTTGCACATACCGCACAAGAACAGATATCTGCTGCATCATATTCCTTCCGTAATTTTTTACGCGTCACAATTGTGCCTATTTTTAGGAATGGCCATACATGCAACCTATACGTCAGGATTGTCTCTGAACGCTTATAAACCAAAAGCCGACTGTCAGACGTGAACATAAAGATGAACAATGCTGACAGCATTAAGAACAGCTCATTATGGTGATGGTGATACCTCTTTAGCAGAACCGGGGCTGCCGCAACCGGCAAATCGATTCCACTGTCAGGCGGAAGTCAACCAGGCTCGCTGTGTACATATACGGTGATTACATGATGTACATCGATAGTTTTTCTACCCGGAAGATTGTCCTCCGCGGCCGACTAATGCCAGACCGTGTGAAGAGCATCCATTATGGCATCCGGCTTATCGCGGCCATTTGCCACGGGCTATAGATTCAGCGGTATTATGTCAATCCAGGTGGGACCGTTCTTCGGCTAATGCGGCGCTCCATTGAACACGTTACAGCCGCAGCAGGTAGAGTAGCGGCGTTGAGATTTATCCTTCGTGTTAACTGTATTTACCGGTTTGAATTACGCTTGTGCTGCACAGCTGATATTATTCATTATGCAACTTTAGGTAACAGCGAAGTCATGTCATTGCAGAAATACGGCAGTGTGCAGAAATTCGGCAGTCTGCAGAAATTCGGCAGTCTGCATACATTCGGAAGTGTGCAGACGGATATGAGCCGGACAGGGCTGCGGTATATTCCAAAAGGACACGATCGGTTGCTGGTGATGTCGATTTCGGAAGTCCTCCTGGGCGCCCTGGTGTTCTCCTTTAACCTGTATAATATTTTTTTCGGTAAGAAAATAACAATTTTCTTTTGCACTTATCAGAGATAAATATCTAACAATACTGTGTTGTTCGAACTTGGTGCAAAGGCAGGTATAACGAGGGCACCCAACCTATTTTGATTAAAGTCAGTTGCCCTTTGGTGTTAGTCGTGAGACAAAATACGGTGCAGCTGCTGCGGCACTGCTTACATAACTGCACAGTCCACTCATTTTTATTGAACATATTCTTTTTTTTATCATTTTTACAAATTTGTAGTATAATATTTGTGGGACACTCCTGATCCCCGTCCTTGTACAGCACATGCCAGATTTATATTGGCAACAATTTTTTAACGAGTTACCGTAATTTGTGGTAGTTACGTAGGTATTCTGATGCGACATTGCCCAAGTCTGATACATTGCAAATACACAATAAATGTGAATGGTAAGGCACTGGTAGCAGTCCTCACCAGCTAGGCCAAAGAGCTGGAAAACAGCTTTGGCAGTGTGCGGATTCCCCGTGCGTTTGTCATACGAGCCATGCCTACTTTGCTAATGTTGTTTTCCCGTACACCAGCTTTCCGATCTAGGGTACTTTGAACAGGAACCTAAATAATATCGGCCCAGCAATATCAGCCCAGCAGTTCAGTTACCGCCAGTTAAAATACAGTAAAACGGTAACTAATTTGTTTGGTTCGTCTCGAACGAATGACGATTCGTTATTGTCATAAACCGTAAAATGGCCCGCGTAAGATATTCGCGTAAGTATCTGCGGGACCGGCCAATGCGCTTCAGTGGACGCCGTGTTTCTGCACATGTATTTTATTGATTTATGTTGCACCCAGAACCTCATGGTGGTACAATAATATTCCGTATTTTACAGGTACATCCGCTCTGATTTTACGTAGAAGTATAAGCACTTTTCAGTACGTAGAAGTACTGTTCCAGTTATTTTATTGACTGTATTCGTGGTATATTGGTATATCACATGTAAACAAGATAATGCACACACAATCCCGACTGGTCCCCGACCAGTAAAAGGAATTACGTAGGTGTATCGCATAACTGCTGCTTAAGAAAAGCCGGTACGCTAATCTGTAGCCCGCTTTTTCTTCCAATAAGCGGTGGCATTCATCGGTTCCTGTCGCCGTTAGAGGATCATGATGCTTAAAACATGATGCAGTTGATTGTTTTACGGAAATCTGTGCCGTACGTTATTTATTGATTCTGTTCGTACAGGCGCCCTGCAGCACGCTCCCGGCTATCCTCTGATACACAGCGTCGTTTTCGTGACCTCACTACCGTCCTACGTGATGCAAGTGGTTTCCGGCTGCCGCGGGGTCATGGCCTGTAGGCGAGCGGTAAAGGGGTTCTTCCCGGAACCCCTGGATCGCTATCTGCCGGTTGTCTGCTGTAATCCCTGCCTGGCCGCCTGGCACTGTCTGTATATGGGATGTGCGCTCATAGTCTGGATATATGTCAAAAATCAGGTGAGGAACATTTAATTAATTTTCCATTATAAGTTACGTACTATTTTGCAAACTTTCTCGGCTACGTTAAGTACAGATCTGTACCATCACTATACTGTAGATATAAAAATAACTGATGCTTCGTTCTGACGCCTATCGCGCTGAACAAGCAGTTTTCTATTAAACCAGTGCTACTCATGCACACTGGTGCTCATGTTGTAAAGCAAAATGTTCGCGGGTTGTTTTCTCAAATTTTTTGACCGGGGACTCGACTGGCCGGTATTCCCGTTTTCCACTCCTAAATTTCCTTTCCGATACCGCATGTCAAAAATTTATTACAGGTTTCTTGGTGGTGTAAGCTGGCTGCAGCCGACAAACGAAAGTATCACTTAATTTGTACAAAGAACAGGTTAACAGCTGATGGTTGTAGGCGCTAGGCAATCGATGCCGGAAACCTGCGATTTGGCGGCGTAAAATAACGACCTAGGTTCTTAGTTTGCGTTTTCTGTTTTAATGTTTTATACTGTACTTCGCCAGTCACCTTATAAGGCTTATATACGTAGTCTTTCAAACAGATTAAATTATGAACAGAATGAGGTTAAGCTTTTGTAGGGCAGTCGCCCGTAATAATGGAAAGGTCAGGGGATTCTTCCCAAAAACTGAATTGGTTTTACGCTGTAGCCTTTGCAGGTGGATACGGTAGATCACGTGATGATGGCTGTGTTCGTGGTGCTGACCGTCGGCTGTGTGGTGGTGGATGTCTATTCCATGAAAATCATCCAGCGTATGAGCGACGAACTGCGATCGGATGAGCCGGAACGAAAACTACGCGAAGCGCACGAACTACTCCGCACATCCGCTTCGGTAACCACCATGCAGACGGTGCAGGAATGACGGTTCTTCGCTGATGGGCACCATAACAATCTTGCCGGTACGTGAAGATGCCAATGAAAAGAAACGCTTCAAAGCAACTGGACAACTGATCTCACGGAGATTTCCTCAAGATTGCAGCTCATCCAGAAGTGTGCTCTTCATTTTACTGCCCCATCCGCATAGTAATTTTGATAAGCCTGTACGATACACGCTCTTACCAGTGTGATGGATGGTCTGGTGCCGGTTTTGTTTGGGATTTCTTGTGCCAGTTCATCTGTCTATCAGTCAGCGTGCAACCACGCTGTGACCTTTGTGTTATTTTTAATATTATTTTATACCTGTCAGCCTTTCGCTGACCCTCTATTGAATATTGATTTTACGTACCACTACTTTCAAACCTGAAAAATTAGAATTTTCTACGAGTGATGATGATACGAGTACACCGTATTTTGCCATTACCAAGTTACCGTAAATGAATGCCAGCAGAAGCCGGTTACGCATTTTACAGACAGCTTTAAACACAAGGCATGTAAACCGCGCACAGAACTGCATAACGGATTCGTAGTGGAATGGCTAGTCTAGCTCTTATAAGTGGTGGCTATTACACTTACACTGAATTTCAATCAAGATAAAAAAATTTAATGTATTTGTTTTTTATGCTTACGCTTCGTGCTACAGACTACAGTTAAGTTATATTTGTAAAGTATGGCCCCTGCATTTTTGTTCTGGCTGCTCTGATAATTGGATTGTTTATTAACAGTAAAATTTTCCTTAATTTCTTATTTTTTCCTAACGGTGTCCGATGACGCGTACACAGTGTGTAGTTAGGTAGGGCGGAGTTGTGAACAAAAATTACTTGTTATTTTCTACTGCGTCTAAATCGTATGTGCTGTAATATCCACGGATTTGCTGCAACATACGGACGCGTATAAATATTCTTTTAAACAGTCAGGACGAAGTTGACGGGTTTCATCTGATGAGATTAAATCAAAAAGACAAGTCAGCATTTCAAACAGACGTCGGCGCTGACAAATCCGATATAGGCTGGCCGGCAACACTAACCATCTACATACTCTGTATATCAACACCGGCAACGGCTGTAATCGGCCGCTCCTCAGCAAAAATCCCTCGATTACTCACCGCAAATACTGCACACCACCGCTAACAGAACGCACACGTTCAAACTGACAAAATGTATCAGACTATCAGTCTATGTTTGGCAGATGCGTAAGAAATAATTATCATCCGGTGCTAACTACTTAGTACGTTTTCCGTTTTCCGCTCTTTTTGTCAGCTTTTTCAAGTCAATACTGTAGAAAATATTGTATGCTTAATTATGGATGACCTTACGGAATTACTCCTTGAAGTACAGTTATTAGTACTTCAAGATCATTTCTATTAAGCGAATAAAATAATTTCCAAAAACTTATAAAGGCCTCCTGATAACGGATTTTTCCAGAATTTCGTAGAGTGGTTTTCATTGATTTTATTCCATGTGGAGAATATTCGCATGACGCAGCGATGGAGCAGAAAATGGTGTTCTTTATCGTGTGGCTGGTCAGTTTTCTCATCTGCCTGATTTTCCTCTTCACCTTCTTGTATTTTTATTGCGACGGGACGTCAGCCTACGTGGCCACGCCCATCGTCCTGGTGTGCCTGTTGGTGTTGTCCGTCGGCGCCGCGGGATGCTGTCCGGACTCGGCCAACGGGGCGTTTCAGTGCCTCCATGAATCGTGCTGTTGCCGGTGTCAAGCCGATGACGAAAAGAGCTCCAAAAACTCCGCAACATCCGCTGACTCCACCCCGACAAACGTCCAGGAGGTTTAAAATAATCAGGAATTAATCGACAATTTTTTGGAATCTCATTTTGTGGATGGATTTAGTGGGAGGAATATTCCACAAGACTGAAAGTATTTTTTAAGGTTTTTTTCATGAGTGTGCAGTAAATAATAATTTCTCGCCTTCAGATATGAGGCAGCTATATTTTTACACTGATTTATCAATATCTCGCCATTTTTGTTCATTGTTGTCTATGTAGTATGTGATTGTTGTGTTAGTCTTTTATTTTTTTAGCCCTAAAATTTCCTTCAGATATGCGGCAGCTATTTTTAATTTTTACCCGGACTTGGAATTTTAATTCGTGTTAATATTTACCGGTACATTGAAGCGATTTATTTAAATTTATTTATATTCATATTTGTTGTCAAACGCTGCTTATGCGTTTTCGCGAAGTAAAATGTGTTTTAATAAAAACACCCAAAAATCGTACACCGATCATCACACTGGATTCGTTCTCGCGACTTATTAATTACCCGCAATATCACGATCATAATTTATATCCAGAACTTCAACACTGTCACAAACATTTATAAAAAAATCTGGGAATTAATTAAACAACAGAAATTTAAATTTTTCCAGAATTTTCCCCGTTGTTAAAGATTTCTAGGAAATTAGTTAAAAGAAATTAAAACAAGCGTCACCTATCCACCTAAATTGTGCAACAACAAAAAATAAATCCAAAATAAACAACAGCCGCTGTTCACTTGGTCATCGGCTGGGGCGGTCGGCTGCTCATCACCTTCATGATCCCGTCAAAGGCCCGCTGCAGCGCCTGCGTGAACTGGCGTCCATCCCGCGTCTTGGGGAAGTAGAAGGCCACACAGCCCATCCAGTGGTCCATGCACGAGTAGCCCAGTCCGTACCCGTCGGCCACCACCGGCGCGAACCCGCCCGCCGCGATGGCCGGACTCTGCAGGGTGGACGTCGACAGGATGTTGTGGTTCATGCGCGCGTACGCCGGATCCGTGAAGATGGGCAGCGACTGGCCTTCCGCTTCGGCCAGCTTGCGCAGGGCGAACAGATGCCGGTCGAAGCCCTGACCTGTTGGATTACACTGCATCACCGATAAATTTCTACTATAGGATAAGAGAAAATTCTTGTGCTAGATATGTATTACGAGAATAGATTGTAATAACCGGTAAATTTCTCTCATAAAATCAAACCAAAAACCGTATAAAATTTTCTAAACTAACCAAAAAGATTGTCCAAGAGCCTGGTAAGATACATCCATTAAAAGGAAGTGCGATAATAATAATTATACATTTAATATGTTAACTGCCCTTCCCTTTGTGATAGTACATCGGCAAATTTTACCAGTATTTTAACTACACAATATATACTGTACATAATTCATAATCTTTTTGACACATATTTACAGTGTCACGGACATTTCAGTAAACGGCTCAAAAACAGAATCTTCGCGATTAAAACACTTCTATGCCGTCACTAAAATTAATGATTGAATTTTAACAGTACAAACCACATTGTCCCTATTCCTTTCCGATCGTTTAACACACATTCAAAACTAATTTTTACTGCTGCGTTTTTTGTATCGCCCAGTTTTGAAAAAATTTTTAATGTTACCGCAAATCGTTTATAAGTCTTAGCCAGCAGAGGTACTGTACTGTTTATGCGTCCTGCAACAGATATCCTCCTTCCCCAGCCACTGCACTACGTTATCTCGACACCATGATATGCGTTTCTCCCGCATGCTACGCCGCTAAATTTCCAATATACAGCCAATGTTTGTTGGCACGAAATTAATAAATAATAAAGAATAAAGAGATAACTAATTTTTGGAATACTACAGATCGATAAGTAATTTTCCCAAGATTATTCAGCATGTTTTTCAGCTGACGAGGATGTACAAATTAGTGATATTCACTGCACATCGTCAATGATACTAACCCATGGCCGCCTCTTTGGTTAATTTCCCGTGATCCTGGCTGACATCGCGCAGCGTATAGTACAGCTCCGTTTCGTCGCGCAGCGGACTGGTGTCAAAGTACAGCTGGCAGAATTTCTGCGTGAGGGGCGTGGCCGAGCGGATGCACTCGGTGCGGCCGTGCCGGAAGGCCGCCGTACTGCACGATTCGTACGTCGGCGCCACTTTCCCCTCCGTCAGCTGATAGTACGCCATCTGCAACAATCATCCCCATAGAAACATCCGGGCTTTGTTCCAAACTTAGGACGAAATGTTGTTCTTTAAGAAAAACTACAAAAAATTTATTCCAGAAATTACCGAAAATAAACAAAAAACACCAACAATACACAAAAAATATACCTAAAATACGTATACCAAAAGTATGCCAAAAATTACCAAAAATATTCAAATTTTAAACAAAAACCAGGCACTGTCAACATTCAAAATCTTTGTTTTGGCTTTTTAATTATTTTTCCTTTGTGTCTGTTTGTTTACATTAATTTTGTTCTTTAGCTTTCTTTTTCAATTTTTTTTCTTAAATTAAAAATCGAATATACTACTTTATAAACTCTATTGGACCATGGAAAATCGATGCCGAAAACTTGAACGGATTTTACAACAGCCAACGTTTCTGACTGAACAGATTCCGTCTATAGAAGCAAATTAAAATTTCGTTCAGAAAACGTTCAGAAACCACATCATTCATCTTTTGACAGCAAAAATTATAACTTCAATAAAGGGCAATTAAGCTGATATTGCGAAGCATTCAATAACTGCATAAATAAAATACAGGGTGGCATGGGTTTCCCCGCGAGTCTCTCACCTGGAACGCCAACTGTATCATGCCATCGGGATAAAAATGGTACTTCTTGATGTCTTCCTTGCCGTATCCGTGATACTCCAGAATGCTCAGATCCAGACCGTTGATGCTCTTCTCGAAGGTCTCGCGCGCCGCGTGTATTTCACTGCGGATGTTGTCGTTCAGGACGAAATCTGCGGCAGACAAACGACGATAATACTATTTAAATATAAAATTATTGACCCGAAAAAATCATATCAGATTCTTATTAAATCAGTCAAATGAATCATGTTATTTTTAAATCAGTTTGTTCTAAATTCAACAGTAAATATTTAATTAAATACGACACCCGAATAAAAACGTTATTTATAAAACGACCGACCTGACAAAATTTCATGTATGATTTTTAGCCATTTTGCAGTGCTCGCAGCGATTATTAGTTAAAAATAGAAAAAAATCATTTTGATTTTTCATTTAACATTTCGCTTTATTTTGATTCAAAGTGTGAACAAATTAAAAATAGCAGTAACAGATAGAAATACGATGCCGCAATGGACCAACCTAGATGGTGCACATGCCGGGTAGGGTCCACGGAGGTGGCCGTCGGGGAGGCCAGGGCGAAATTGTGATTCAGAGCGTCTTTGTGGATTTCATTGACAAACCGCAGCACCGCTACCCCGTCGCCCCAGGCATGCTCGAAATTGACGCCGGCTCGTCCGGCCGCGTCCACAATCAGCGAAAACGACTTGTCGAACCATCTAAGCCCACACACCGGCACTTTAATGAAATCACACGGCAAACGCCGTATGAAACGCATGCTGCTATAATATGTGAAGACTTTCGTAGGGAAATGGCTAACCATCCACGCCATCTCATACATCGCGTACAAAATCTCAAACAAAGTCTCAACAATAAACAATCTCTGTTTATAAATTAAATATAATATAATTATCGTATTTATGTTTTTTATTTTTTTATCAAATAGAAGTACATGGCTAAAACGTTTGCGCAATTAAGTGAATAAAATTATTATTATCATACTATGTGTTGCTTCAGCTTTCAAAAAAGTGTAAATTTCAGAATTACCACGTCGCAATAAAACTCAATAAAATTGTCCTGAAAAGAAAAAAACAAACTGTTGCACAAAAGACTTCTGGAAAAAAGAAATCGCTGATTAATAAAAAAAGCATCGGAACTGAAAAACCAAAATTACCATTACTTCCAGTTGAAACGAACGTCAGCCAGAATCGGCAATCTACTGCCACACGGCCGTTGCACTACGAAAGCCGGTCAGAACCTGATGTCAGATTTTTATTTTCATTATCACGCGATTCTGGAAAATCTATCGAAAATATGACAAATTCTGGTCACTCTAATACAAACATTTTTTTTCAAATCTTCTTTGAGGCACGAATTAATATAACAGAATAAAATACAGCAGAATTTTGTGCAAATATTTACTACCTAATTTTAAAGTTCATCATAACACAAGTGAAGTATTCTTGTTGCGCAACATGTACAAAATATTTTCCCATCAACGGCTAATTTCACAAACCGTATAACACTTCGTAGTTACAATGATTGTATTTAACGGTTTATTTCATGCAAAGTTACCGTTACCATTATCACGAAAGAAATCAACCCAAATTTAATCAAAACATGTATTTCTCGTGGACGATTTTTACAGCTCAGAAAAAAAATAAAATTTATTAAATAATATCCAAAATAAAAAGAAACTTAACTTTTGCATGGAAAACATAAAACAACACTACCAAACAAAAAATAGTAAAATAATATAAAACATTCGATAAAACAAATAAAAATAAAATAAAGAACTCAATAATAAAATTAAATACTTAATTTGTTGTAGAAATATAGCGAATTACCGCTAGCGCGAAATACGCGCTGACTGTACCTGCTTATGCTTGCTTGATTATGCTGTTTTCTTTTATTTACTGCTGACTTTTTTTTGTTTTAATTTATTCAAAATTTACTTACCGGTTGTAGCCGTCGCCATGGAGCATTTCCTTGCAGAAGCGCGCCTTATCCTCGCTGTCGTTGGTGTCCAGACACAGGACGAAGAGCGCCGTATCCAGCTGACGGAGACGCGCCTCGTTACCGGCCTGCACGAGACGCGCCCGCACCGCCGCCCACCGATTCCGCTCGTCCGCCGACATGACGGCGATGGAGTCCTTGTTCGGTTTCGGCGCGGTCTTTAAAATGTGCCGGTAGCAGTTCAGAATATCCTTCGCCGGCAAAATATTCCCTACACCCGTTAATCCACCGATTTTATTCACAGAAATAAGCATTTCTATTTTTAATGTCGGATACTGTACGGGGTGCAGCTGACTTACAGTGTACACTGATTCACTGCGTTAAATTCACCATTTATACACATTTATCGCGGGTCTGTCAATTTCCACTGCTTTTACTCCTCCCTTATTCATACTGCATGATGTGCATATTTTCATTTTACGCAGGCAAAATAAAAAAGTTAATTTTCATACAAATCTCTCGATGCATCACGGTAAGTCAGCATAACCGGGGAGGCATTAAAGACGAGTTAGTAGTAGTAATACACTCACAGCCCCTGCACTACGTTTATCGTCTTGGGTCGAGTACCCGTGTGCGACTAATTAAGGTAAATGCTATCACTGAAATCATTACGTTTCAATGTTTAACATAATCTGTAAATACTGAGAATACCTATTACTGAAAATACCGAAAAATACTCAAATCGCTGTTTTTTCAATGTTTAAAATTTAATCATTTTAACTGGCGTAAATCAGCGCAGGCGTAATGTCCTTTACCTCTCCAAAAAGCAATAAAACTGTTCCAGTAAAATTTGTTCCAGCCGTTAAATTTCGCAACTAACGTGATACATGTACCTACTAAGATTTCTATAGAGCAAACATCGATAAACTCGAAAACAACCCGAAATATCGTTGCTTGAGACGGAGGTAAGTACAGCGTCCGCCAGCCCACTGTAATTCAAAAATCATCCAGAAAAATACAGAAATGAAAATCTTACGTACATTCTATTTCCTGTCTCAGTTTAAGAAGGAAGAAAAACAGTTAAAACACACAGGAACCTGCAAACTAACCGTTGGCATCGTACACGTCGAAGGTGTAGAATTCGCCGTTGCGCAGCACGGCCACGTGCTTGGCGGCGTCGTCCTTGTACAGTTCGTCCTTGTCGGGGCGGGGAATGCGGGTGGAGTTGAAGAGATTTTTATACTGGCTCATATCCAACGGGAAGGCCTTGTACAGGTACGCGCCGTACCAGGAGATGGCCGCCGGCAATAAACTATCAAGCAAAAAATCAAGCACTTTTTTCCATGTTTTTGCCAAAAAAATTTCCCCACCCACAGTTTACCTTCGTGTATCTACTGACTTCTGCACCGGTTGCTTATCACGCTTAAATCATTTTTTTACACTATGATATCCGATATTATCCATTAAAAATTATTTCGCATAATTACGGTAGAATAAAATTCTGCTCTATGTAAAAGTGTTGCAAAGAATATGCAGTAACGTGCACGAAAATAACACTTAGAAACTGTAGTACGCTGGATCAAGCATAACTTGCCCGGTAATGATTGACAAGTTAACAGATTGACAGTTTGACACGTATTAACATAATTTGGCTTTAAAGTCTGTTTTTCTCACCTAACGAATCGTCGAAAGGCCGGTGTGTCGGATTTTTTCGGGTTCAGATGGTAAACGTCGGGCTCCAGGAGATTCTGGCGTAGACTATTGCGGAAACGCAGCGCACTGAGGGTTAGATCAGCCGCTCGGACAGCCTACAACAAAAAATATAATAATCGAAAATAAAAACCAAAATAATCATAAAAAAACGAGCGGCACGGACGGAAGTGGCAAAATTTTCGGAAAATATCCAACAAACAAAAACGCAAAATCTTCTTTTAAATTTTTCCATCGAAATCATGGGATCACACCTTTTCTGCATTTTCGTATTGTACAAAAAAATTACAACTCCGATAAGACGAATTATAAAATGGGAAACAACTGTTTTTCTTTATTACGTAATCAGGGAAAATTCAAAACAGGGGGTACTGATTTCTTAATTAAACCAGCGAAAATCACGCGCCAACCTGGTCCATTTTGGCCTGGTTCGGGTCGTCGTTCATGGCGATAAAGGGAAGCGAAATTGATGACCAGGGGCTCACGGGCGCGCAGATACATGTCGAACCAGTAATCGGAGATGTACGAGGTGTGCTTGTTGTTCCGGTCCACCTCCAGTAATTTCGCATGTAATGCTATTACGAAGAAAAATTTATCCCAGATTATCCCAGTTGTTAACTTGTTATCCTTAATCACACAGTAAGTGACGAATATTAGATTTTTCTTATATCTTCGTTAGAATTCCATTATTTCCGTTTTTTTTGTATTTTTTAAAATTAAACATACCTTTAATTTAAAATGTATTTAAATTTGTTTTTATTTCTTGCATTTTGTGTTGAATATAAATACAAGGCTAGAATGTTTGCGCACTTAATTGTATACAATTATTATCATAATATGCGTTGCTTCAACTCTCAAAAATTAATACATTTTCCAAAATTCAGAATCATCACATTTCAATAAAACTTAATAACTTGTCCTGAAAAGAAACAACAACTGTTGCACAAAAGATCTCTGGAAAAAGAAACCGCCGATTAACAACAAATCGAACAAACAGAATTACTATTACTTTTTTTTAAGGTCATGTCTACGCGCGAGAATACTCTCGCGCTATGAGTTTTGGCTACGCGCGAGAGTATCTCGCGCTATGATATTGACTACGCGCGAGAGTTTTTTCCCGCCCAATAAAACTACGAACAAAACGTTTAAGAGAAGAAAAAACCGCGCGAGAATATCTCACGGAATATTTTCGACCGCCAGTTACGGCATAAACTGGAAATTGTACGGTTCTTTAATTTCATTTTTCGAACACACGTCCACGTACGTCAAAATTATTTTTCTTGAGGTGGTCAAGTTAAGAAACAAAACAGTTATTGTATCATGCAGTATGTGAGCAGTTCTCAAAGCGAAACTGTTCTGTATCCGCTGGGCAGATGCAACCGCCGGCGTATTTCCATCGTATCTGCTGCTGTTACTGTGCAGTTATGATCTTTCACCGTGGTTTTCGTTCGAGGATTAAGGCCCTGCGATCTGGGAGGAGGCGCCAATGTGCCGGTTTCGATGATGGTTAAAAACCAGTGGCGTAGTTCGTCCTCCCGGGCGTAGTTGGCGTTTTGAATCTGCTTGCCCAATAACAGGTCATGCGCAAAGGCAAACGAATATATAAGGCAGTTATTTCCTCCAGCGGATTGTCCGTAGACCGGGACGTACTCAATGCTGATCTACGGTCAGATTTTGTATTTCTTGCACTAAGAGGTGACCTTCCCGTAATTTTTGGTTGCCATGTGGTGATAAACGCACTGATTTAAATATTTGTTGGTAGTTTGTTTTGTGCGGGAAAAAAGTCTCGCGCGTAGTCAATACTCATAGCGCGAGATACTCTCGCGCGTAGCCAAAACTCATAGCGCGGGAGGCTCTCGCGCGTAGCCATTTCGTTTTTTTAAAACGGATGTAAAGCGGACATAACTCTGCCACACAGCCGTTGCACTACGAAAGTCAGTCAAGAACACCTTTTTAATTAACTTTTTAATTTTCATTATCACGCAATTCTGGAAAATAATCAACCCATCAATAACTTAGTTTTCAAGGAATACACGGAGCTGCAGCCGTTGTTAGAGTTACCAGTACTCGAAGCACAATGTCGGAAACGCTGGAAGCATCGTCAAAGAAGTTTTAACAGAAATTAATGCCAAAAGTGAAAATTTTTATAAGTGTGCGCAAGTGATGATCACACACAATCTTTAGAAACAACTGTTGGAAAAATTGAACTAAATAAAAATTTAATGTAACAAACAAAAAAATATTTAATATACAAACATTATTTAACACATATTTAAAGTTTAAACGTATTTAATACTTTATCATTATGATTTAAGATTTTCTATCGAAATTCTTTATTAAATGAAATATAAAAAACTGGCAGTATCTCTGAGAAGAAAGAGAAATTTCTTGCAATCAAGAATTTTAGAAAAATTTGGAATTTATATTTTAAAAAACTTAAGAATTTCTTTAGGGTTTTGGAAAAATTCAAATAATTTGTAAAAAATTTAACATTTGAACATAAAAATCACCCAGAAAATTGTTTAAAAAACTTACTGCTAATTCTTTATTAGAAAATCAACATTAGTTTTAGGAAAATTTTATAATAAACTAGTGCAAAATAACTGGCCATATCTACGGGGAAAAATATTCCTGAAAAAAAGGCAAAGGCAAACGCGACAAAAATTGCCCCGTCCCTCCAACACTCACCGCGTCCGTAGTTGTTGCGGAACTCCATGGCCGCGTTGACCGTGTTGCCCAGTGTTCCCGGGTCGCTGATGGGCCGCTGGGCCCGCACATAGCGATCGATGGTCTTATCCAAACCGGGAATGGGCAGACGCGGCAGGCTCTTCTGGAAGTGCATGGTGGGTACCACGCTGCGCTGCAGCAGTTGCAGTTCCTCCGGGGATTCCGCGGGCGCCTCCTGCACGGCGGGCTTAGGGGCCGCCGCAGAGGAGGCTGCACGGTACGCGTGCAGCAGGCGAACACGCTGCAAGGGTCCGCGGTGGTGCAGTAACATGTCGACGCTTGCTCTGCAGCAGCTGCACACAGACGGAATTCACGAATTTGCGAGATGGGAGACAAAACTGTCAGCGATGATGGAGAGACTGCAGATTCCGGATCCTTCAGTGTTCGTTATAAAAATTAGTACTGTTCCAGTCTTAACGCAGAAAAATTAAAACTGGAAGCAGTACGAGTACTGAGCACTCTGATCCAGGCCAAAAACGAGGGGGAAAGAAAAAGTTCAGAACTGCAGACGTCAAAATGTTCGCTGGTGATGGCAGCGGCGGAAGTTGACATTTGATCATAAGAGCACCACCCGATGGCGGACGCTAGCACCGCAGCCACCGCTAGAGCGCTTATAAATGTGGCTACTGATAGCCATGCCACGGGGCAGGCTAGGAAGAAGAACGATTTTCTATGAAAATCTACGGGAGAAACACCGCTCGACTTCCGTAACGTTTTTATTAGTCAAAATCGGTAATCATAAGAAATTCCAGAGTTGTGCGATCATAACTTCTCGACTAAAGTTATCTGCCAAAAACATCCAGCGGATCAGAACTTCAAAGCTCAGTGTTATCGCAACAGTGTAATGCTGATCGTATGTGTACTGCTCGTACCTGTCTTGACTATCGAGCCAAGTGCTAAACACGGTTAATGCGGTGCAACAGGTAATGATAAGACGTACGTGTAATGCTAATCAGTACTGCATATGCACGGGAGATGGTGACGTACAAGCGTCATCCCTAACACTACAGATACTGTAGCCGCCCGCACAAGTTGCTCCACAGAGTGAGGTATACGGATATTTCCACTCACATTGCTCGCTGTTTAGCGCAGCGTGTGCATGGAGAAGGCTACGGCCGGATCTGCCAATGGAGCAACTTGTGCGGGCGGCTACAGTACTTACAGTCCGCCATCTGAGAAATCTTAGACATACTCTTTAGTTTTTACTTCTATATAAAGTTGTCATGCAGTTTCTTGAGTAAAATATATTTTTCAGTTCCCAACAGTTCGTGAGAAATTTAATTATATATTTTTTTATGATTTATATCGCTGTAAAAATGGCGTGAACGATTTATTAGGTATTTGGTTTCAATGCAAACCGCGCGCGGGAGTAGATTCGAATTCATTCGATAGCCCGCCGCTTTCTGAATTTTACTTACAGGATGTGCAATTATACAAGGCAGTTATTCAATTTATAAGCTCATATTTATTTTATTTTTCTCTTATTAAACTTATTCCCGTTTTGCAGGTAGCAAATAGCAGTTAGCAGGCAACCGCACACGTGTGCTAATGTTGTACTTCTGCAGTGGCGGAGCAGACGAATGCGTGACCTTTAAAATGACCTCCGATATGTAAACCTTAACGAGCACGTGCTCATTCTTGGCAGCATATTACTTTTTTTATTTCCCGGTTTTCCTTTTTTAGCCTGTTTATTGCTTGGTTACCGTATTATTTTGCGGCTTTTATTTTCGTATCGTACTGAATATTTTCTTGCATACTTCGATGCTTCTTTGTGGTTTCTTCCGCCCTTTTTGTTTGTAGCCAATACTGCATAACTTTACGCAACCAACCAATTCAACGTGGCCGTCAATTTTATTGCCAGAACACTTTCACCGACACACGCATTTTACATTTCGTTCACTCTTTCAGAAAAACACAATTTTCGCATTACAAGACCAATAGTTTAGACCGCTGACATACGTGACGCACTATCCATCCGCTCTCCATCCGACCGTTCCGTTAATCCGTTGACCGTACTGACCGTGGCTGGTAGAACCTCCACTAACCCCAGTAGATACCGTCACCGTGGCCGCAGCAGAAAGCCATCAGGTAGCAGGGGCAGCGCTTGTTGCGGGCACCCATGGCCATGGCCTGGGCGTCCATCATCTGGCGGGCGGCCAGCGGACTGTAGGCGGCCATGGCGCCCCATTGGTCCTGGGCGTTGACGGTGATGACGGCCAGCAGCATGACCAGGGCGGCGAGTACGACAATGAGTTTGGCCATTATTACTAGATAGACACTTGTAGACTACAGACACTTAGTCAAGTATGACAGGAGATATTTCAGAGTTGGCTTTTGAATCGTACAGTAAAAATTTTCCAACTGAATCCCAATCGGGAAAATCTGCTGGCAGGTTCAGTGTGGTTGGGCAAATTTCACGCGAATGTCAACGGAAAATTCAAAAAGTGCCTCGGCAACCGAAATGGAATTCCAACAGCCGCTGGAATCGGTATACAAACTGTGCTCGATTGGAACTCCATAACTGCACTGGAATTCCATAAGCAGGTCTTGGAATTCCCAAAACGGTTGTCACAGTAATGTCCCATGCGACAGAAAATTCACGTGAATTCGCGATATGTTTTCCTGGCAACGAACAACTCCACGTCATCCTGCCCTGCGCTTTACCGTCGCCGGATAAAAAAAATTCATTTGCAAAAAAATTGTCCTAGTGATCACTTGATATTTTTCCTCATTCACTTGTGGTATTCTTCTGATTGTACTGTATCAGTACCAGTTAGTAATAGTAAGCAACATGGCCAAGACCGCTGTCGTACTCGCCGCCGTCCTCCTGCTGCTGGCCGTCCTGAGCCACGCCCAAGACCAATATGACCCCGCCGCCCTGACCTTCTACAACCCGGTGGCGGCCCGCCAGATGATGGACGCCCAGGCCATGGCCATGGGCGCCCGCAACAAGCGCTGCCCCTGCTACCTGATGGCTTTCTGCTGCGGCCACGGTGACGGTATCTACTGGGGTTAACTCGACATCACAACAGCCAGGAAGCCCCGTCTGTCCACCTCCCGGGGTTTGCAGCTTCAGTTAAAATCGATTTAAATTTTAATGATAATGTGAATATAAAGCGGAATTTTTTAAAGATGTTATGGAGTAAATCTTAAATAATCTGCGGAATATTCCATTAATTTACCTGCGTGTCGGCGTGTGTCAGCTGCTGATTTGTAGTATTGTCAGGTGCGAAGAAAGGTCATTAAAGGTCAACGGAGAAGAAGCCGCTTGGTGTTGTCATGAGAACAAAAATAAATAATATCGTGTTAATAGAAAACTGTTTAAAGGTCACACAAAAAGTAAAGGTCACACAAAAAGGAAAACACAATAAATAATAAAAAGATTCGATTAGTTATTACTACATTTAACACGACCTGAAGATCATTAAAGTGTCGACAGAAAAAACAGTGATTGCATCATTACAGTATGCCAAAAATACCAAAATATACGTGCTTAACAATTTAGTAAGAAAAAGCCTTTTATTCATTAAATACCAACGTCTGTGCATAATCTGCAAAATTACTTCCATTTTATTCATTACCCAACATCTCTCCTTATTTTTTGAATGAATATGTATATGGTCACTGTCCATTGACCATCAAAAAGCCATGATAAAAGCAAGCATAAAATGTCAAATCCAAAACGCAACCAGTGCTCATTATCCGATCATTCAGCGTTCCAACAACAGATTAAGAATAAAATAAAGAAAAGAAATCCCGTGAGATACACGCAGCAAAGCAAAACAAGCAGATCTCTTAAAAAAAATCACCGAAAATTCCCAACCGCCCACGGGGCCCATCCCGCCCCCATTCACCACGCAGCCGTGATCACCGCCCGCAGAAGGGTCAACAACCCGTCCTTTCCGGGGACATCCCAGCCCCCCATCAATTCCCGCAGGTACGCGGCCCGTTCGCCGGTCTCCATCTCGGCTCTGACCACCCGCTGCACGATGCCCTCGCTGATGGTGGTCAGATGCAGGGCGTCGGCTTGTTCCACCAGGAGGCGGCAGTTGGTCGGGGTCAGCTGTTCGTTGATGAGCACGGTGCTGGCGAAATCCCGCAGATCAAAGAGGAGGAACTGGTCGCTGAGCTGCACGAGATCCAGGAGAGGGAGGCCGGTGGGGTCGGTGAGGAGGGTGTCCAGATGCGGACAGGAGGTGAAGCGGCAGCCGCATAAAACGTGCACGATACCCTGCAACAAACGCGCTATAACATAATCACTTTTATTATTTCAAAAATTATATGGTGTTTATTTTAAATTTATTTTCATTTTACTGTCTAAACGCTCAATAAATTACAGGTAATTAGTGCCGGCATTGTGCCAATTATTGGCATTTTAAGAAAACACTGGTGGATGAAAAAGAACACAATTCTGTATGGTTAGAGTGGAAATTTCGTAGTGGGACGGCATGGTAAATCACTAGATAACGAATACGGTGTTTCGGATCCGATAAATCATAAATTCAGTCATTTGGAACCTGTATTTTTTGCTTCGTTAGGGAACCATTAGTTGTAATTATCTGCGTATTTCGAATAAAACAGCGCTACTCAGTGTTCACCAGCAGCTGAAAAATTATAACAAAAGTTAAGTAATAAAACAAGTGAAAGAAATAAAATAAAATCATCAAATAAATTACCAAATAAAACCCAATTAAATACCCACAAACTTAATAATGAAATAAACAAATTGTTTACGTACGCACCGTGAAGGCTTGCGCTTCGGTCTGTTTGATGGGGACAATCTGCTGGCGTCCCTCGATGAAATTACTGCCCAGCAGCGCCGCAAAGACATCGGACGCGGCGGCTAATTTCTCCCGGTTGACGGGGACGATGGTGCCGTCGTCCAGCTGGCACACCGCGTCGTTATCAACCGCCGGCATCTGTTCGTATTGGCAGCCGGTTAGCGCCGCGTCCCGGAAACTCAAGCCCATCGGATCGTCGTCCGCGTCGCTGGACAAATTGGCGAAGAAGCCGTGCACCGCCTGCCCGATGACGCGGGCGGTTTCCTCATCGGCATCTACGGAAAAAATCATCCACAAATAAAGCCAAGAAAAATTCAGATACAATGTAAACAGAAATCCCATTACATACGGATCTTAAAACATTTCAGCAATATTTATGGTAGCTTTATTATCACAGCGCTCTGCCATCACACTACGAAATGGGCACCTTATAAACACGTGCTAACAATCACCAAAGGCACTCACCAAATAAATCGAGGATAATAAAAATCGAGGATAATAAAAATCACAAAAAAAGAGAAAGAACAAAGTCAAAAATGTTTAGAACAACGAAACCGTCCAGTAAGTACGCAAACAACAGAATGCAATCCTTCAGAGAAAAACATCATCCATGAATACATACAAAAATACAACAAAACACCGTCAAATGCGAATTTTAAATTTAAGTGATATCGAGATACAACACAGTTTGTAAATACGATTGTGTAAGCCAATGTGCCATTACACTACGCGATGCTCAATTTCAACAAGCGATCACAATCACCAAATGCGCTCGCAAAACCGAAAAATCACAGGAAAAAGGAAAATAAAATTATGAAATATTAAAAACGAAAGTAAAAAACAAATATATATTCACGCTAGCAAAAATAAAAAAACGACAAGAAAACAGAAAACGAATCAAGTAAAAATACTGGACAGACCAAGAATCAGTGATTCAGTATTTGACAAAACTACTTACGCAAAAAAAAAACAGCAGGAAAATGCTTAAAAATTATTACTAATCAGTGTGACCGCGATTATCATTCAGCGCCTCCATAACACAGTAAGAAACAATGACAAGGAAATACAGTAAAATAAAACAGAAAATAAATTAAAATGTTAAAAATCACAACAGAAAGTAATAAATACTGTATAAATCACGTCATGTTAGTTCAGTGTTTAAATAAATCCGCAACAAAACGTTTTAAAAAATGTTAAAAATTCGCATAAAAAAGTTAAAAATTTAAAGAAATGATAAAAACTAATTAAAAAATTACTCAATCGTACCGTGAATCTCACTGAGCGCCTCCATCAGCTGCTCCAGCACCCCGTTCCGCTCCCACAACCGCATCCGCTCGCCCCGCCCGCCCAGCAGCACCGCCGCACTGGCCACACACGTCATGCGCACGGGGGCGGGCGCCCGCAGACACAGATGCAATAACTCGCCAAAACCGAAATCCCCTTCGGCGCAGTTGCGCAGACTCTTCACCAGCTCCTTCTTGGCCGCGTCCACCGCGTCACAGCGACTGCGCTCCACCAGCCGCAGCGCCAGCCCGCTCTTGACCACGTGCTCGAAGGCTAAACGATCGCGGACGATGCGCTGGATGATCGAATAAGGTTTCACCGGGTTCCCGATGGTGTCTGTCTTCTCGGGGTGGTAGTACAGCTCCATGCAGGCCAGGAGCCCGGCCAGCAGCGGTTTGGTCGCCAGGAAGCGTGTCAGTTCCGCTTGGTAGGAGATGGACTCCAGGAACCCCAGGGCGTAGCGCAGACACTTCTCGGCGTCGGTCTGGCTCATCGTCGAGGTGGTCCGGGGCTTTTTTGTCGTCGGAGGGTCCTTGGCGGCGCTAAGGGACCGTTTTAGTGACGGTTTGTCATCCTCCACGTCCATCAGCACCGGAGAGTACCGTCCGGAACCCCGGCGGGAAGCAAACGGTCCCGGAGATTCTCCAGACATCCCGGAACAGCTCGGCGAGCTGGGACTATCCACACGCACCGGCGAGTACCCTCCAGCGGGTTCCGGTGACCCTCCGGGAACCAGGAGCGCACTTCCCAGATCTCCAACGCTGTTTTCCAGGCGTCCGGGACTTTCCGGGGATGCGGACGTCCCCGGGGGGTCGTCCAGGACCGGGGAATATCGCCCCGTGGACGGACCGGGTGTCCGCGGTCCCGGGAACCCGCCCGGGGAGCTGGGATAGGGTGAGGCGTTCCCCGTGTCCATAGGAAGACGGCCCAGGTCCCGCTGGAGTTCTTCGGAGATGGAGGGCGGGGAAACGGCCGGGCTGGGCGGGGGGAGGTGGCGGAGACGGGGCGGGGAGACCGCGAATGTAGATGTCGCCGCGGTTGAGGCCGGCGCGTCGTCCACCGGCGGGTTGGGAGATTCCGGAAGTTTGGAGACGGAAGGCGAGGATGATTGGCAGACGTCGATGGCGGCCGACATGTACTCGGCGACCAACGGCAATACGCCTAAAAATTATGTGCAAGATTAGCACTGTATTTCCCATTATCAGCAATCCGGATGCAGAAGATCACTTGAATAATTCTAATATTTAATACTAATAAGGCAAAGAAAAAGAAAAAACACCGCGAATTTTCAAAAATTAACTGCAAATACAGTTACTGGTGAGACCATAAAATTCATTCGTCCTTTGATCTTACTCAATCCCACGAACTTGGAAAAAATATTTTTACAATTTAATTCAGCCCAGAACTTGTAAAACGATGACCGTTGTACAAATGTTCGGATAGGGAGAGGTCGATGGCAATACTAAACCATTGCACTACATTTCCAGCGATAAATTACGCGCGTTAACCATTAGTCCATTACTATACCTTCACTACGAAAGAATAATCTAAAAATATATGTAACCAAATTTAAAATGGAAATTAAACAAATAAATAGTCATCAACCATCAGACACAGCCAATAGTAATCTTTATGAATGCTTAAAAATTTAAAATACTTATGCATAAGAAAATAAAAAAAGCAAATTCAACAAAAAAGGTAATGACATATTCTATGAATAACACTGAACACGGTGACAAATTGAAAGCATCCGACTCACCCAGCTGAATCAGCTGCTGCATGGTCGTGGAATCATGCCGGAACTCCGGTAAACACGCTAAAATATGCAGATGCACCGTCTGGTACAGCACCTGTCCCAGCATCCCCACCAGCACCCTTAATCCTCCCAAATCCACCAGTTTCGCGCGATTAAACCCATCCCGACAGCACAGCGTCAACGCGAACGCCACCTTCCGCTGCAGACTATCCACCGTCGTCTGCCGCGCATCGAACCCCAACTGCTCCAGGAAACACGCCACCACGCCCTTACTCCCCATATCCAGGCGTAAACTGGAGCTCCCGGCCATCCGTGTCAACAGATCCACCGCGGACTGCTGCACCCCGGGGGCCTCGTGCCCGGCGAGGGTCACCAGCTGCGCCATGCACCCGCGGAGGATGCGCGCCGTGTCGTCGTCCACGGGCTGGTCACCGGGCGGCAGGAGGCCGGTGATGGTCAGGAGGGCGGACTGGAGGATGGGGGGTTCGGAGGAGTCGGGGTGCAGGAGGCTGAGAAGCCGCGGGAGGGTGCCCTGGCGCAGGAGGGCGCGCCGGAAGGGCGCCGAGGCCGGGGAGAGGGCGCGCAGGAGGCGGATGGCCGGGTCCTGGAGGGAGGTGGTGTCCAAGAAGGCCGTAAGGGTCGCGGTGAGGGGGGGCGGTGGCCAGGAGGGTGACCAGTGGGGGGTTGGTGTGGAGCAGGGTGAGAAGGGTCCGCAGGGTGCGCAGGTGGAGTTCCGGGGAGTATTTGGATTGTAGCAGGAACACTGCAAATTAATTTTTTTATTTACGACCTTTTTCCCGCTTTTTTTTCGAAACTTTTAATATCGGGATTGATTTTTAATATCAAATTTTTTTATTTTTGATGCATTTTTTTCGAACTTTTTCATTATCGGGATTGCCGTCTTTCAATTATCATAACGGAACACTGCAGATTAAGTATTGTTATTGTTTTCATCATCATTTTTGTTTTTGATATTAATTTAAAATTTTTTAACAATTTTCAAATATTAAATAAATAACTGGCGGAATCGGTGTTAACTTAACTTGTTAGTCCAGTGCACGTGCCAAAATCGTAAATTATTTTTATAATGGTTATTGGTATCTGGGTTGTAACAGAAAATTGCACATCACTTTTTCGCTCAAAACTTTGACAATGTCGTAGTGCAGTGGCTATACAGCGTAACGTTCAATTTTAGTGTTAGAGCTTGGTAATGTCAACAGACAAACTGCCAAATAATTAGTTTATAAATATTTTTTTAAACATAATTTACAGCTGGTAACAGCGCTTTCCAGAACAGGATCAAACCAAACCGGATTTTGCTGTAATTTCTAAAAATATGGGGACATATTCACGGCGATGGACGTACCGAATAATTTCACGGCATTCTCGTTGTTTAAGCTGACTTTCGCCGGCTGCTCCGTGGCCAGAATCATCAGCAACGACAGCAGACTCAACACCACCGGCTCCTGGTCTGACGCATCGGACACGGTCCGCGAAGTGTTGTTACCGTCTTTGGCGGCGAAAACGATAGACTGCAACAGTCGCGTCACGGCCGCCACTCCGCCATCGGCTACCGCCCGCGGGATCTGCGCTTGATGGCGCTTCAGGTAGATGCGCAGATTGTCGACGATGGCCTGCAGACTGCTGCTGCCCGGCGCCACCGTCCGCAGACGATGCAGTAAATGCGACAATTTATCCGGTTCATCCATCACTCAGTTTCATGCTGAAACGCGAAAGAAACACGAAGCTACATCAAAAGGCGAAAGACAGCACAAAGATGAACACACAACCAGGCGCATCACCCTACAATTCTGTGTTCAGCAAAGCAACAGCCTGCATAAGTACAAAAATCACATCAATATGAGCCGTATTGGAAATTCCCTTAATCGTCACGTGATTTTTTAATAGCGTTTCTGTGACATAGTCACGTGGGTATCAAGTACCCAGAACCGAGGAAAATTACTTCTGTTGATTATTAAAATTATCCAAAACCAATTGAAATTTATTTTTATTGTACAGTGTTAAAATATCAAAATGCTTCGATGACAAACAACCTTGAAAAAGTAGAAAAATGAATGAGAAGAACGAAACACATACCAATGACACCAACAAGTTCGTGGCGGATTTTCTCGGTTAACACGCTTCCGTTTCGCTCAACGCAGGTCTCCAGGATAAGCATAAGGGTTTAATAAATCAAAAGTCATCAATACGAAGCAGGAAAATCACGGGTGAACGAAATCCAGGTCATGAAAAATCAGTCCACGTTGTCGTAATCAAACGATTCCTTACGTTGCCATATCGCAGCAAGTGGCGACTGGCGAGTGTGCGTGTTTAATTTCGTATA